TACATCTATTCTACACCTTAACCATCAATAAAGAGATGGGGACAATTTCTCTTACATCTTTTCTACACCTTAACCATAAATAAAGAGATGGGGACAATTTCTCCGCCATCTATTCCACACCTTAACCATCAATAAAGAGATATGGACAATTTCTCCTACATCTATTCTACACCTTAACCATCAATAAAGAGATGGAAACAATTTCTCCTACATCTATTCTACACCTTAACCATCAATAAAGAGATGGGGACAATTTCTCCTACATCAATTGTACACTTTAACTATCAATAAAGAGATATGGATAATTTCTCCTACATCTATTCTACACCTTAACCATCAATAAAGAGATATGGACAATTTCTCCGCCATCTATTCCACACCTTAACCACCAATAAAGAGATGGGGACAGTTTCTCCTACATCAATTCTACACCTGAACCATCAATAAAGAGATATGGATAATTTCTCCTTCATCTATTCTACACTTTAACCATCAATAAAGAGATATGGACAATTTCTCCTACATCTATTCTACATCTTATCCATCATTAAAGAGATATGGACAATTTCTCCTACATCTATTCTAAACCTTAACCATCAATAAAGAGATATGGACAATTTCTCCTACATCTATTCCACACCTTAACCACCAATAAAGAGATGGGGACAGTTTCTCCTACATCAATTCTACACCTGAACCATCAATAAAGAGATATGGACAATTTCTCCTACATCTATTCTACACCTTAACCATCAATAAAGAGATGGGGACAATTTCTCCTACATCTATTCTACACCTTAACCATCAATAAAGAGATGGGGACAATTTCTCCTACATCTATTCTACACCTGAACCATCAATAAAGAGATATGGACAATTTCTCCTACATCTATTCTACACCTTAACCATCAATAAAGAGATATGGACAATTTCTCCTACATCTATTCTACACCTTTACCATCAATAAAGAGATATGGACAATTTCTCCTACATCTATTCTACACCTTAACCATCAATAAAGAGATGGGGACAATTTCTCCTACATCTATTCTACACCTGAACCATTAATAAAGAGATATGGACAATTTCTTCTACATCTATTCTACACTTTAACCATCAATAAAGAGATATGGATAATTTCTCCTACATCAATTCTACACCTGAACCATCAATAAAGAGATATGGACAATTTCTCCTTCATCTATTCTACACCATGTGTACACCTTAACCATCAATAAAGGGATGGGTACAATTTCTCTTACATCCTTTCTACACCTTAACCATCAATAAAGAGATACAGACAATTTCTCCTACATCTATTCTACACCTTAACCATAATAAAGAGGAATGGACAATTTCTCCTACATCTATTCTACACCTTAACCATCAATAAAGAGATATGGACAATTTCTCCTACATCTATTCTACACCTTAACCATCAATAAAGAGATATGGACAATTTCTCCTACATCTATTCTACACCTTAACCATCAATAAAGAGATGGGGACAATTTCTCTTACATCTTTTCTACACCTTAACCATAAATAAAGAGATACGGACAATTTCTCCGCCATCTATTCCACACCTTAACCATCAATAAAGAGATATGGACAATTTCTCCTACATCTATTCTACACCTTAACCATCAATAAAGAGATGGAAACAATTTCTCCTACATCTATTCTACACCTTAACCATCAATAAAGAGATGGGGACAATTTCTCCTACATCAATTGTACACTTTAACTATCAATAAAGAGATATGGACAATTTCTCCTACATCTATTCTACACCTTAACCATCAATAAAGAGATATGGACAATCTCCTACATCTATTCTACATCTTATCCATCAATAAAGAGATGGGGACAATTTCTCCTACATCTATTCTACACCTTAACCATCAATAAAGAGATGGGGACAATTTCTCATACATCTATTCTACACCTTAACCATCAATAAAGAGATGAGGACAATTTCTCCTACATCTATTCTACACCTTAACCATCAATAAAGAGATATGGACAATTTCTCCTACATCTATTCTACACCTTAACCATCAATAAAGAGATACGGACAATTTCTCCTACATCTATTCTACACCTTAACCATCAATAAAGAGATGGGGACAATTTCTCCAACATCTATTCTACACCTTAACTATCAATGAAGAGATATGGACAGTCTCCTACATCTATTCTACACCTGAACCATCAATAAAGAGATATTGACAATTTCTCCTATATCTATTCTACATCTTATCCATCAATAAAGAGATATGGACAATTTCTACTACATCTATTCTACACCTTAACCATCAATAAAGAGATGGGGACAATTTCTCCTACATCTATTCTACACCTTAACGATCAACACAGAGATGGGGACAATTTCTCCTACATCTATTCTACACCTTAACCATCAATAAAGAGATGGGGACAATTTCTCCTACATCTATTCTACACCTGAACCATCAATAAAGAGATATGGACAATTTCTCCTACATCTATTCTACACCTTAACCATCAATAAAGAGATATGGACAATTTCTCCTACATCTAGCCTACACCTAAACCATCAATAAAGAGATATGGACAGTCTCCTACATCTATTCTACATCTTATCCATCAATAAAGAGATGGGGACAATTTCTCCTACATCTATTCTACACCTTAACCATCAATAAAGAGATGGGGACAATTTCTCCTACATCTATTCTACACCTGAACCATCAATAAAGAGATATGGACAATTTCTCCTACATCTATTCTACACCTTAACCATCAATAAAGAGATATGGACAATTTCTCCTACATCTAGCCTACACCTAAACCATCAATAAAGAGATATGGACAGTCTCCTACATCTATTCTACACCTTATCCATCAATAAAGAGATGGGGACAATTTCTCCTACATATATTCTACACCTGAACCATCAATAAAGAGATATGGACAATTTCTCCTACATCTATTCTACACCTTAACCATCAATGAAGAGATATGGACAATTTCTTCACATCTATTCTACACCTTAACCATCAATAAAGAGACATGGACAATTTCTCCTTCATCTATTCTACACCTTAACCATCAATAAAGGGATATGGACAATTTCTCCTACATCTATTCTACACCTTAACCATCAATAAAGAGATATGGACAATTTCTCCTACATCTAGCCTACACCTAAACCATCAATAAAGAGATATGGACAATTTCTCCTACATCTATTCTACACCTTATCCATCAATAAAGAGATATGGACAATTTCTCCTACATATATTCTACACCTGAACCATCAATAAAGAGATATGGACAATTTCTCCTACATCTATTCTACACCTTAACCATCAATGAAGAGATATGGACAATTTCTTCACATCTATTCTACACCTTAACCATCAATAAAGAGACATGGACAATTTCTCCTACATCTATTCTACACCTTAACCATCAATAAAGAGATGGGGACAATTTCTCTTACATCTATTCTACACCTTAACCATCAATAAAGAGATGGGGACAATTTCTCCTATATCTATTCTACACCTTAACCAACACCTTAACCATCAATAAAGAGATGGGGACAATTTCTCTTACATCTATTCTACACCTTAACCATCAATAAAGAGATGGGGACAATTTCTCCTATATCTATTCTACACCTTAACCATCAATAAAGAGATATGGACAATTTCTCCTACATCTATTCTAAACCTTAACCATCAATAAAGAGATATGGACAATTTCTCCTATATCTATTCTACACCTTAACCATCAATAAAGAGATGGGGACAATTTCTCCTACATCTATTCTACACCTGAACCATCAATAAAGAGATATGGACAATTTCTCCTACATCTATTCTACACCTTAACCATCAATAAAGAGATGGGGACAATTTCTCCTATATCTATTCTACACCTTAACCATCAATAAAGAGATATGGGCAATTTCTCCTACATCTATTCTACACCTTAACCATCAATAAAGAGATATGAAGGTCTTAACTAAAGTCAACAGTATCACAGCTTCATGTGAGATTAACTTATTTAAAGATTTTAAAATCTTAGTCCCATGTTTATTGATTTTCTTTAACGAGGAGTTTTGATGCAAAATTTTACAAAAAACATTTAAAATTTCGTATTGTATATTAAACAGTCGTCGATAACAATGTTACACACTGACAAACAGCCCATTGATATATTTATATACGTACAATTAAATCCATATCAAAACGATTAAAAGTATTCATAAGGCGTCAACTAACTTTTTTGCTATGTTGACTTGTTTGTTGATCATGTCTAGCTCATCGTTTTGTTGAGGAACGATGGCGTACGACGGACGACAGGCGGCAGTTGATGAGAATAGCTCACCTTGCTTCGCAGGCTCACATTGCATCCAGTGGCAAATATTGCATGCATCTTCAGGACAAGAACAAGTAAACAAATAGAAGACCTGGATGAAGGGCAGAAAATTGGACTGCCACTGGAAAACAATGGCATGTTGGATAGTCAGTGGCAGACATTGTGCCTATCAACAGGCCAAGTACGGTACCTACTGTCTCTATTCTGACTGCGTATTTAAACATCCCACACAGCTAAATGACCTAATATGGCAAGGGTTTTATTGCTTTTCAGAACATAACATATTTCGATACCTCAGTTACCTCTGAGGTAGACAAAATTTATTTTGGCCAATTATACAAAAGCTGTAAACTTATTCAATGATGACTTATAAATTTGACCATCTACATTCGATTCACTAAAGGACAAACACATTAAAATAATTTATATATCTTTCCCATGAAAAAGATACAACCATTGGTGTCCTTCGGCTGTTTTCTCCTCTTTGGTCGAGTTGGTGTCTCTTTGACACATTCTCCATTTACATTCTCAATTAAACCGGATGTTTTCCTAAATGTGTTCTTGTCATTCGTCTTTACTTTACACATTTTCATGTAACTGGAAATTTCATATAATTGATAATACGCAAACAACACATTAACAAACACTTTTTACACTCAAAACATACTGATAAACACATTTTTAAAATAGTTCTGTACATAACGAGTTTAGTGTTAGCAATAGTTACATTACAGGTTTGCTGCAAGTAATGAAAAACTATAAATAATAACGAGACAGTCCAATATAGGTTCACATTTTAAGTTGTGTCCAATATTTCGACTATGGTACACTATTACATCTAGACCATTACTTTCTGTTACTTTCTGTAACTTTACGAATAGACAGTTTGGTACACTATTTAATCTTGACCATTACTCTTTTTAACTCTACGAATAGCGTTTGATTCACTATTTCATCATAGCCATTAAACATTCCTAAACTCTATGAATAGACAGTTTTGTTCTTTATTTCATCTTGGCAATCAAATTCCATAACTCTATGAATAATCAGTTTGGTTGACTTTTGCATCAGGTTCCTTTTTATAACTCTATGAAGAGACAGTTTAAGACAGACTTTAATTGGTAGCTGTTTATCTCAATACTAGGACGAAGGCCTCGTAAACAAAACTGATCAGTCTACTGCCAATAAGTTGGTATGGTAGGTAGTATGTAAATTTCTAATAAAGTTTATAAATTACTATTTGCAATAAAAACTGCGCATGAGCTTATTTCTCTATTGTGTTGGAATAATTTCAACTTCAATATCCATTTCTGAAATGAAAACAAAATAAATCACAACTGCACAGATAATTTTAGATTCCGTTTTAAGTTCTACTTTAACAGTTTTACAGAGATACACAATTTTTAAGACCAGTAGAAAAGGAAGCTATAGTGATTGTCATGCAATGAAACATGTTCTCTAAATACCTATGTTTTATGTTTGCATACTTTCATACTGTTGTAAAAAAATATGGAAAAAATCATAACAAATTTTGTGCACAAATTTTGGTTTTAAAAAGGCTAAGAATTCCATCTTACCTGATATTTCATTTTCAATTGATTGAACTTCCTCAGCAGAAATAGTTTTAGCCAAAATTTCATTTAGGTGATCTGTATAAAGTCTTGCTGGTTTGTTAAGTTGATCAAACCTTTTTAAAAGATCACTTAATATGTTACACAACTCATTAAAACGTGTATCTCCAAGTTCAGCTGCCCGTGAGTGTTGTAGTTCATTCCTTGTAAGTCTTATGCGCTCAATATCATCTCCAATAGCTATGTCTGTAACCTGCATGGTTTGCCAATTCCCTCCCCATCCTTTAGTTGGAATATTTTTGTTTAGTTTCCTGTGCTCCTTGTACAAGTATGTTATATCACAATCGCTCCTCGGATGTAGATTTGGTATATCTTGTTTTAATAGGTCATATGAAGCATCAGCAAGAATATTAAGCACAATTATTCCCATCTTTGTAAAATTGATCTGCTCTGTGGTGAACTGAAAAAAAATAATAAAAGTGAATAATTGTTATATAAAGTATGTAAAAGGCTTATGTTATCGTGAATAAGGCTACTCCCAGATCTGTAATTAGTGTATTTTTGTTTTGGGGATGTATAAGTACCCTGCCACGTCCACTCTGTGATTTAGCTAGATGTTTTTCTGCTTTGTGTCCATCTGACGAGTTAAACCCCTTTTAACTGATTTTTATAATTTTGTTCTTATGTTGTAATGTTACACCACTGTCCCAGGTTAGGGGAGGGTTGGCGCCTTCAAACTAGTTTAACCCCACAACATTCTGTATGTACCTATCCCAAGTCAGGAGCCTGTAATTCAGTTGATGTCTTTTGTTGCTGTATATTATATTATTTTGTTTTTTGTTTATCATTCTTAACATAAATCAGGCTGTTAGTTTTCTCGTTTGAATTGTTTTACATTTGGCATTTCTGGGCCTTTAATAGTTGACTATGTGGTATGGGTTTTTCTCACTACTGAATGCCGTATAGTGAACTATAGTTGATAATTTCTGTGTCGTTTGGAACCTTTTGGAGAGTTTTCTCATTGGCAATCATACCAATCTTCTTATTTTTGTATCAACTGCATTTCTTGTCTATTCATTTGTCAATAAACGTAGGTCGTGTTCACACAGAACTTTTCGCACTGCAAATCTGTTCACAATGAATTTCATGTCATGAACACTGGTTTCACATTTTTGCTCGTTTGTAAATAGGTTTTAATTACCTGTACATTCCATAGAATTAAATTAAAAATTTCTCTGTAAACTTTTGTATCAATTAGACGCAAACCAATTCATAATTGTATGATTATTCTTTTATTTTTTACAAATTTATTTTTTAAGAAAAATATATTTGTTTCAAGGGGGAAGTGAGAAAAATTGTTTGATTCCATTGAAAATAGAGGGTGAGGGTTTCAACATGGATTTAAAAAAATGTTATTAAAAATAAAATGTTTTGTTTATTTATTTAAGTAATAAAAAAGAAATAATAGATAAAAAAAAAATTTTGAAAATGATTGATTGATTGATGTTGGTTGCAAAAGTCTAGTGGCAAATATTTCATGCATGTTCAAGACGAACACAAATTCACGGTACCTGCAACTGATAGGTCCTGTAATAGAGGCCGCCCAAGATGAAGATTGGGTCAATTTGGACTGCTATTAGAAACTGAGAGTATATTAGATTGGGACAGAAATTTTGCCTTACAACAGGCCACCTAATGATCCCTCAGAGTCGTAACAAAGGTGTTTAACGTGCTGATAGTGTAGCAATCTCTTTTCCTGAGGCATCAAATTTAATGTCCCCATTCTGACCAGAATTATTGGTATACTGAATATTCTATCAGCAAAAAAAAAAAAAAAAACCCTCCCATTGAAAATATAATGGTCCACTAACATGACTAAGGCTATTAAACTTAATCATGTTTTAACTGAGCAATTTTGGAGTTATGAAGATTTGTGTAAATGTTGTATCAGATTACTTTTGCTGTTGACAGCTTTTATCTTTTAATCATTTTTTTAACCAGGTTTAATCCACCACTTTCTCCATAAGAAAATGCCTGTACTAAGTCAGGAATATGACAGTTGTTATCTATTCGTTTGATGTGTTTGAGCTTTTGATTTTGCCATTTGATTAGGGACTTTCCTTTTTGAATTTTCCTAGGAGTTCAGTATTTGTGTGATTTTACTTTTTGATAGAATTTGCCAAAAAAAACTGAATTTGTGAGAAATCGTCATTTATTGTCAATAACTCTTTCAGTAGTCATCTAATGGTTGCAGACATAATATACTTTCTGTACATTTTGTGTTGCTGATTACTTTGGTTTATTTTTTTGGAAGAACAGAAAAAAACATGACAATAAGTCAAAAATAGTTATTTATGGCTAGAACTCCTTATAGGGTAATTAAATGATGTCAGGTTATAATTATCATTTTTGAAAATCTTGTATGCTGATCATTGTGGTTGTTTACATTGTCTAATTTTTTGAAATACTGTTTCCAAGTTTCCAAAATATTTTGAAGGAACACTGTCAAGTTGGGGATGTTTTCCCTCCTTTGACATAAATAAGAATGTGACGTACTATGTTTTGGTGGTATTACACATGTTACACCTAAAGAATACATTAATCATGTTGTAAATGTTAAATGAACTATATGTGATCTTTTTTCCTTTGAAATATTGGCTATTTCAAGAATACTATCAAATTTTGTCACAATCAGTTCAAATATTTAAGAGAAAATAGGTATAAAGGAGACAACATCATACAGCGAAATGAGTATAATTCCTTTTAAATTCCAAATAACGCTGCATCATAATAGAATATCGCTTGGACTAATAAATGATCAAATATTCATTTCATTTCATAAAAAAAAACATTTGAATAGGATGGAAAATACTACTCGAAGATGATAAACATCGCAAATGCACCTGTCTGTCTGTATTGCAAGGTCTTTCTTGGTCATTTATACTTCTTTCCTCAAATGTTCAACAAATTTGAACTGTTTATTCTACTATGTAACAATTAAAGGGTAAAAATCACAAATAAATGCTAGAAATTTGATAATAAATGAGTTATTGAAGTGTTTAAGGCTAAAGCTGAAAAAAAATCCCAATAAAACTGATTTCATGAACTTCAAGGTTTCCAGAAGTCATTACGTAAATCTTAAGTTTACGCTGCGTTCTAGAAAGGGACACATAATGGTTTCCTATTAGTAAAAAAAAGTTATTAGTGCATTTAAAATCCTTTCATCAATGTATATTTCGTAAAGATTTACTTAGGAAAAAAACACACTTTAATAGCCATATATAAGAAATAGGGAGAGATAGTCAGACAAATACCCCCAATCAAACTGAATATAGCTTGCTCTGCCTACTAAATAAACTAATCATAGATACCATGATTGAAATTTTGTATATACTAAAACATGTAAAATAACAGGTAATTCATGGTAAAGCCTTATTACCAGGGTTTCCGCTGTGAATAAAAGTTGTGGCGATTAAAATTTATTATTAGCAAAAGAATTTGGCGAAAGAAATATACCAATTCGATTTCAGTCATCTTGTTTATTTTTTTAGGGTTTCGCGGACTTTACTTGATCAGACATTATTCTTTTTCTTTTTACGATGGTCCGGAAAAGAAAACCGTTGCTACATAGAAAGCTACATAGAAATAAATTCCATAGTAGGAAAAAATTAGAAAAAATCTCTGATTAGCCTTTATCCTTCAACTAGACGGGAAAATATATATCTGATAAACTTATTGAAGATGAATCTCGTGTTCCCAGAAGTAAAAGAAGATGATTTCATGATCTATAAATATATCTTTTGAAAAGAAAATGTTTTATGTTTATTCATGTTTATTCATTACAATGTATTAATAAAATGGGCCATAGATGATGCATCCGCACATCATATAAAGTAATAAAGGGACATAACTGAAGAACGGTAAAAGTGGCGCAACCCAAATTTGTACTTGATCTGAGTTTTGTGGTAAAAAGTATTCAGTATAAGTTTCATAAAATTTGGTTAAGGCAAACTTAAGTTAGGGAACAGAAACCAAATTCAGCAATTTTTCTGTTTATAAAGGGGCATAACTCTAGAAAGATAAAGTGACCCAACCAAATCTCAAACTTGATCTGTGTTTTGAGGTAATATGCATTGTGTATAATTTCATAACATTTGGTTGAGGCAAACTAAAGTGAGAGAACGGAAACTAAAAATTAAGCAATTTTTCTATTTATAATGGAGCACAACTTTAGAAAGGTAAAAGTGACGCCACCAAAATTCAAACTTGATCAGTGTTTTATGTATAAGTTACATAACATTTGGTTGAGGCAAACTAAAGTTAGAGAACGGAAACCAACTTTGAGAGGTACAGACGGACCAGGGTAACATTTAATGCCCCCTCTGCTACAGCGGGGTCATAAAACAAGAGTGCACACGCTGAAATGTCTCGTCTTCTTTACTAATCATTGATATTATGTTGATAGTCCTAAATATAAAGCTTTATTACAACTGTCACATAAACTTAACATTAACCAAGTAAACTAAACATTGACCAATGAACCATGAAAATGAGGTCAAGGTCAGATGAACCATGCTAGGCAGGCATGTACAGCTAACATTTCTTCCATACAACAAATATAGTTGACCTTTTGCTTATAGTTTAAGAAAAACAGACCAAAACACAAAAACTTAACACTGAGCAATGAACCATTAAAATGAGGTCAAGGTCAAATAAAACCTGCGAGCCTGACATGGGCATCATAAAACATTTCTGTACACCAAATATAGTTGAACTATTGCATATAGTATTAGAAAAATAGACCAAAACTCAAAAACTTAACTTTGACCACTGAACCATGAAAATAAGGTCAAGGTCAGATGACACCTGCCAGTTGGACATGTACACCTTACAATCATTCCATACACCAAATATAGTAGACCTATTGCATACAGTATCAGAAAAACGGTCCAAAACATAAAAACTATAACCACTGAACCATGAAAATGAGGTCAAGGTTAGATGACACATGCCAGTTGGTCATGTACACCTTATAATCCTTTCATACACCGAATATACTAGACCTATTGCTTATAGTATCTGAGATATGGACTTGACCACCAAAACTTAACCTTGTTCACTGATCCATGAAATGAGGTCGAGGTCAAGTGAAAACTGTCTGACTGGTATGAGGACCTTGCAAGGTACGCACATACCAAATATCGTTATCCTATTACTCATAATAAGAGAGAAATTAACATTACAAAAAATCTTAACTTTTCTTCAAGTAGTCACTGAACCATGACAATGATGTCAAGGACAATGGACATATGACAGACGGAAACTTTGTAACATAAGGCATCTATATACAAGGTATGAGGCATCCAGGTCTTCTACCTTCTAAAACATAAAGCTTTTAAGAAGTTAGTTAACGCCGCCGCCACAGGATCACTATCCCTATGTCGAGCTTTCTGCGACCAAAGTCGCAGGCTCGCCAAAAATGGAAAACAACTGAGTGCAGATTCTCATTTAGTAGAAATACCACCAGTGTTTCTCCTATTAATCTCTGTTTAATTGGCATTAGTTATTAAGTGTTCAAATTTACATTTTTTTTCAAATAAAGAAATATTTGGCAGAAATACAGTTTTATCTCGTCCAGTACTACAGTAAACATTTTACACATTTCCTTCAATAAAATTAAATACCTTTCCCCATTAGTCAACAAAAGCAACTTGTCACCCCTTTTTCCTATCAACAAGCTTCAGTAACCAGGTCACTTAAAGTGTCAAAAACTTTTTGTAGGAACACAAAAAAAAGAATTAAAAAAAATCAATTTCGTCCGGTCAGAACGGGCATGTTCAATCCAATGCCACTTGAGTACAGCTTCATTATTGGTAATTTGTTCTCATCCGATCATATATTTGCAACTGAACATAAAGAAAACACCAAAAATCAATCTATCTGTTATTGTTTTCAAAATATAAGAAAATTAATTAATTGTATTCTTATGTTATAACTTAAGCGAAAGCAGCCATGTTTGTAGGCTGATCCGAATGAATAAAAACACAAACTTTATGCTAGACACCATAAGGATAACTCCGACCAAGTGTGGTTGAAATTGTGTTAGTTCTTTCAGAAAACATCTTTGAACAAAAAATACAATGAACGACGGGCATTAGACCACAACCGACGCCAAGTGAAGGATAATGCTTACATGGCCTTTTTGGGCAGGTGAATGAAAAAACACTGAAGTCTTTTACACAGGTGCTAAAACATTAAAATGAGGGGAAAACAATGGACTTGTGTCAAATGGAAACTTCAGAACATGATGCATTTGTATACACATATGAAGAATCCAGTGTTTTTTCAAATAAAATATAAAATTTTATACATCGAAGAAAAGCCCCCGCACCTTCAGATTAGCATCCCTATGCTTCAAATTTGACATCATAATAAAAAAAAAAGGAAGGGAGATGTATAGAATTGATGATCGATTCTTCTGTGCCAAATTTATATTACAGTAAATATTAAAACAAGAGTGGACACACTGAAATGTCTCGCCTGTTTTAGTGTTCATAATTGAATTTATGTTGAAAGTAAAAAAAATAAGTTTTTATAAGCTTTACATTAAATTAACATTTTAATGATGAATGAACATGAAGTCAAGGTGAGATAAACCCTATCAGACAAACATGTAGGCCGTACAATCATTCCATACACCAAATTTATTTAACATATATTGCCTAAGTATCTTAGAAACAAACCTCATTGAGGAAACTGAACTTTGACCAATGAACCATAAAATGAGGTCAAGGTAAGATGACACCTGTCAGACAGACGTGCACACCTTACAATCATTCCATACACCACATATAGTTGACCTAAAACTTATAGTATCTGAGAAGAGGACCAAACAAGAGCATCTTAACATTGACCAATGAACCATGAAAATGAGGTCAAGGACAAATGACACCTGCCAGACAAACATGTACACCTTACAATCATTCCTTACACCAAATATAGTTGACCTATTGCTTATAGTAATAAAAAAACAGACCAAAACACAAAAACTTAACATTGACCAATGAACCATGAAAATGAGGTCAAGGACAAATGACACCTGCCAGTCAGACATGTACACCTTACAATCATTTCATACACCAAATATAGTTGACCTATTGCTTATAGTATTAGAAAAACAGACCAAAACACAAAAACTTAACATTGACCAATGAACCATGAAAATAGGTCAAGGACAAATGACACCTGCCAGACAGACATGTACACCTTACAATCATTCCATACACCAAATATAGTTGACCAATGGCTTATAGTATTAGAAAAACAGACCAAAACACAAAAACTTAACATTGATCAATGAACCGTGAAAATGAGGTCAAGGTCAGATGAAACCTGCCAGACTGACATGTATCCCTTATAATCATTCCATACACCACATATAGCTGACCTACTGCTTGTAGTATCTGAGAAACGGACCTAATCATGTAACTTTAACCTTGATCACTGATCCATGAAATGAGGCTGAGGTCAGGTGAACCCTGTCTGATGGACATGTATACGTTGCAAGGAACCCATATACCAAATATAGTTATCCTATTACTCATAATAAGTGAAAAATTTACATAACAAAAAAACTAAACTTTTTTTTCAAGCAGTTGCTGAACCATGAAAATAAGGTCAAGGACATTGGACATATGACAGACGGAAAGTTTGTAACATAAGGTATCTGCATACAAAGTATGAAGCATCCAGGTCTTCTACCTTCTGAAATATAAAGCTTTATACAAATAGTTTACGCCGCCGTCGCCGGATAGTAATACCTATGTCTCACTTTCTGCGACTTTCGTCGCAGGCGAGACAATGAATGATATTCCAAAAAAATATCTAATTCCTGTTGCATGTGCATGAATTTGCCTATTTCATCAGTGGCCGACTTCATATGTCTCTGTCTATTGATGGTTTTAGATTGACGTTAGCCCAATGTTGAACATATTATGGTTATTGTGACGCTATGTGTTTCGGTTCCCTTTATATTTACTCAGCATCTCATTTTTTTTAATCTATTTTTTTTTTTCTTTTTCGATAACAAAGTAAGGCAGGAAAAGGCGTTTAGTGTTTATAATACATAGTTTTGGAAACATTTATTGTGAATATCATATACCTCTCTCAAATTGCGTTTACTTGGTGGCTCTTCAGAAATATTTGAATAATCTCTCTTACCACGTTTGACACTGACACGCACCTGCAATTAATAAATCCTGTTTAAATATACAAAACATAATATAATTGGTAAACCTTGAGAAATTATTCAATTTTGACAGAAAACTAAGCAATGTGGATGATACTTATCCTTTCTGCTCACTCTATTTGTTTGGACAGATGAGTAATAATTCACATACAGGGTTCATCATATTAATCATGTATTGGGCTGTTTTGTAAAACAAAGTTTGGAAAACTCATAGTAACTCTGAAAGAAGTAAAAGAATGTGTATTGGGCGATAAACAAATGAACAAGAGGTAAGCTAACTAGACTCATGAGATATGAAGGCCAATGTAACTATCCACCTGACAACAAATGGAGTAGATGTAAGCAACAATTGGTCGCCGTACGACCTTCAAAAATGAGCAAAACCAATACTGCATATCAAGCTATAGTAGGTATAATTTCAATGAGATTTGAAAACAACACCATATATATTTCATGCGTTTTTTCTGGATTTACCTTCAAAGGATGATTAAGAACCGAAACAGTCGGAGATATATGACCAAAATGGACCTAAAAATAGCCAAATCCATCTAAAGTCAACTTTGAGGGAGTTGAAACCTAACATTTTTTATAATTTCAAAATTTATTAGCTGACAATTTTAGAAAATTCTTTCATTAAATAATAAAATAATAATTTGATTACAGACTTTCTGTTTTGAATTTTCCTCAGAGTTCGGGCCATTTTGAATTTCTAATATACATCTCAATCTACTATCATACAATGAAAAAAAAAATAACATAAAAAAACCAACAACAAAAAACAACAAATAAAACATAAAATAGTCCGATTAATCATGCAAGGGCATATACAGCCAAAAGAAGTCTGCTAACTAGTTTATTATAATTTGCTGATTTATTTTGCTGTTTACAGTTTCCTTTTATTCTCTATAGTTTACGCCAATTAAAAGAAAACTTTGGTAACGAGAGTCTTCAATGAGCCAGAATCACTTGCATGATAAAATATGCAACGTTATGCAACATAAAAATGATTAGCAATAGTGCTAAAAACTTGATAAACATTGTCTTTTAAAGGCAATTGTTCCTAAAAGCTGGAGGTTTTAAAGAGGCTGTGTCACTGACCTGGATTAATGTGCATTTCCAACACTCACTTCATTTAAATTTTAGTGGATAGTTGGTAATCATACCACATCTCCTTAATCTTATGTTGAAAACTAGAATATAATTCATGATTCAGATCTCTTTTTGTTAATCTTGTAATACTGTGAACTTTATGTTTCCACTTTCACTCTATCTACCTTAATTTTTTTACTCCAAATACAAATGGGCGAAGATCGTCATACAAAAATAATAACTTCTATAATACGTGAACTGATGGTCTCGACTTTGTTGTTTGTAGATCGTGTCTTCCTGATCCTTTTGTCTGTATCTACTATAGTGTTTTACCACAATCTGAGTTATTGCCCTTTAATGATGATTCATCATTAAAGGGCAATAACTCCTATAACAAATGTATATAGATTCAACTGACTACTACAGCCGAGCTGTTATATTTGCAGATAGTTGCTAAGTTCCTATTAGCCTAGTAATTTCAGAGCAGAAGATTTATATAAAAGTTAACAGACAACGAGAACGACAGATGACGACAAATGACTTACACCAAGTGATGAAAATAGCCAATATGATCCTTTTACCGATAAAACAATATTCAAACATATTTACCAAGATGTTATATGATATCATTTAAGAAGAATTTTATTGAAAGGATCAATACTTTTACATGGATCGTATCTAAATTTACATGCTTAATTAACAGCAGTACCGTAAAAATTAGGATGTGATACATTTGTATCCTGTTTTTGAATTGTACAGTTACAGCCAAACTCTAAATTCAAATGATTGTCTCTGGTGGCCATGATTTTGTCCGATTAGAACTAGATGAGGATTATGTGTATATCATCTAACATTCATTATACCTGTTCAGTTTCATTGCAATTAATTAAGTGATTTTAGAGAACATATAAAATGTGAATGGTTTCAATTGGCAGATCACATATGCAGAGTGCTTTAAAATAGCTCACACAGCCTTTAAGGCAAGGTGAGCTAAAATTTTTCGTGTGAAGCAGCTTTATTAATATCTACACTGGAGTTACCTGAGTTTCCTTAATGATCTTTATTTAAACACCCAACTAATGCATAGTACCTCTGGTCAATTCAAACATAATTGATAGTAACAAGTATTGATCAGTGAAAAATGCAATTATGATTAATCTAAATCATCCTACACAATTAGTTATACAAAATTACATGTATTTATATAATAATACTAGTCTATACATGGTGTATGTTTTCAACAGTAGAGTGTTACCTTTGTGGATGTACTTTGGAGTTGACTGGTGTTTTCTATGCAAGGATTAGATCCTGGAACATGTTGAGTTTTTTCAGAAATCTCGGTCAGCTACAACAAATTACAAAATAGTTACCACTATTGGATGTTCATTACTCTACTTAAATTTGTAAATCATTAATGGAACATGTAAGAGATAACTGTATTGTATTTGAAGCTTTGCGGACGTCCATTGGTAGTTTTACTGTCGCAAATTGAGTTTACCTGGCGACGCGTAGCATAGACAGGTAAACGGATATTTGCGGCAGTAAAACTACCGATGGACATCCGCAAAGCTTCAAATTTATCTCTATTCTAATGCAAAATAAACAAATCATTCAAGATAGAGAATTTTACGCTTATTGTCATCCAATCAAAACCATTGATACAAAATACTTGCATTACAAATAACAATGTACAATGTTATCTCGTTGCAGCAATAATCTAAAACTACAGGAATTTGATAAATTATGATTTCCCTACGTAAAAACTGCCGTAAGGAATTTAATATCCCTTTGTACTTTTCTTTCAGCAGCGCTTGACTATATAGACTATATGTATGTCAATCCTGTGTGAACTGTAATCACACAAATGACTTCAATTACTAAACAAACAAAATTTAAAAGTCATTCAAGCATGACTAAAGGTACATCCCAGTATTCTGCTTAAATTGGAAACTAAATATCAATTGTCTAGTGTATGTTAGTCTTCAAAAATATACCAAATCAATAAAGTTAACCAAAGCAACTGAAGCCTGACTGAGGGGACATAGCCATTTTCTCTGGAAACAACATAGTAGACATACAGATATTTATGATATTGGCGCCAATTTAATACAAACAGACAGATAATACAACAAACAAATAAATTACAGTGATTATTTTTTTTCACATTAGCTAAATGAATGCCTGTGGATAATATTCATGAAATCAAAGGAATAGAGTGAGAACAAGTGGTCAAAACATGTTATATATTTGCAAGATGACTTCTAGACTAATATATTAAACTTAATGCAATAACATGAATAAGATGAAATCTTTCCTATCAAACAATTAAACTAATTAATTACCTTTATCGGTGCATGATCAGACCATTCATTGATATGTGTTTCTGTACACATCTCACAGAAATAATCTGCTTCCTGCTCATAAAATCCTGTCACACAGTCCGGTTCTGCAAGGCTACATCCCAACATTTTGTCAAATTTTACAGTTGTCATTTTGAATCTTTTTCTTATTATAGTGTTTATTTCTCCTGTAACAAAATCATCAATGTCCTTGAAAAAACACCTTTCAATGTTACAATGTTTCCCAAAATCCCAAACCTGAATCTGAATAACATTTGGATATGTCATCACAAGTAATTTTGAAGTCTTCTGTAACTTAAAGACGATCGTTCCTCTGAAAAGAGCAATTGGCCGTTTTGTTTGTCCACGGACAGGTACTTCTGCAATGTCGTACTTCCGGCTCAGTGAAGCAATCAAATGATTAATTAAATGTCCTGGTAGAAATTTAAATTTGAAACATAACCAAGTGGATTTTGTACAGTTTTTTTCTGTCACATAAAATTGTTTGTTTATAGGACAGTCAGGTACCTTTTTAACCATGCAAGGTATGTAATAGCAAGGTTTTAAATCAGTGGCATCTCTGTCTGATACAGTTGGACGTATTATAATATCAAATTTCTCCATGACTTTCAGTATATGATCTTTATGTTGAAACACGTTTTGCTTTTCCACAAATTTAAAGATTTTCTTATTTGTTTCTAATATTTGGTCCAAAACCACACTATGTAATATTCCTCTAATATTTAAATCATTCCATTCATCCGTAAAAAGATGCCGACTGGGACCTGATTGAAATTTCTCTGCTGTTATTATACATTTAAAAGTATCCGACAACCATTGAGTATCTAAAATGATATAATCTGGAAGATCCTCAAAATAAACCAAATCTCTGAGTTCATGATGAAAATTTAAATATAACATAAGTTCTTCATGGTTTAATGGATTTGGTGTTTCAGTAGATATTTGCTTAATATCATTCAAGGTAATAATTGGTAACTCCTTCTTTTTCTCTCGTAGACATTTTTCCAACTGAATAAATTTAATAGGATAGTCTTTATTCCACGTTTTCATTGTTTTGGCTAAGTTCAAGAGATTTTGTCGTATTAGCTGGAATACACTAGGATTATCTTCTGTGTTTGAAATAAAGTACTCGTACTTATCACTAATGTGTCTTCGTGCATCAGCTGAAACATCTTCAACATATTTATTAAGGCAATCTCTACATGCATCCTCAATCTAAAAAATAAAGTCGTTTTCTTCAATAAGTCTATGACAAAAAACATAAAAGATATGTCAATGATTATTATAAATCAGAGTACCGTTTAACAATGAGGTTGGATATACATCACTAGACAATGATGATGCCCCCTTCTGTATGCACGAATATATGTAGTTCCACAAACAGTCTCGTGATTTTCCTCATTTTTTACTGATGCTTCATTTGTCGCCATTTTCCGCAAAATTAAATAAAACTTAGTTGAGTGATACAAGGGGTTGAAAGTATTACGAAAATATCTAGGGGGCAATAACAAATATTCAATAAACTGCTTCGCAGAGCGCAGCTGGATACGACCGCAGAGGTCCAACCATGAACAGTTTGGGCAAAAATGGACACAATATTCAAGCTTGATACAGGTCTGAAGTTGGCTTGTAATTAAATATTTGACACATTATAGGTTTCTGACACAGAATAAATGTAGTCAAAGAACTTGAAATTGGTTATATGATTTGAATTTATATTCAATTGAAAATTTCTTGCTTTTGTGCAATGCACTGTGCTGTTGCGCAATATTTAGTAAATCTGTTTTCAGACTATATACAAAGAATTGTGACCCCAAATTTTTCTTTGGAAAATTGACAATTAATTAAATCTTGAGGAATAAAAATTGACCCCCCCCCCCCCCTCCTTTTTCCAAAAAAAAATAATATTTGAAGAAATTTTCTTTTTAATTTCATTTCATAAATCTTGAGGGAAAAAAAATGCCCCCCTCCCCCCAAAAAAATAATTTTTATTTACCCCCTCCCAAAATTTCTTTTTACACCCCCCTCTTTTTTCCAAAAAAATAACAAATGCAAAAATCTTCTTTTTGTAAAATGTGGTACAATTTAAGCACTTAAACACAAGTTATTGTCTGAAAACTAGAAAAATGCTTGTTTTAGACCCTTTTTGGCCCCTAATTCCATAACAGTTTGAGCAATTACCCCTCAAATGAATCCCAACCTTCTACTTGTGGTATTGAACCTTGTGGTACAAATTCAGAGCAAACAAAATACTTATACACAAGTTATTGTCCTGAACTTGAAAAATTGCTTGCTTTGGGTCCCTTATTCCTGAACGGTTGGGACCATCACCACCAAAAACAATCCCAACCTTTCGTTTGTGGTATTGAACCTTTTGATTAAATTTCATAGAGATCCATACACTAAAACTAAAGTTATTGTCCGGAAACCAAATGTCTTCGGATGACGACAACGTGATAGCAATATACGACGCAAAAATTTTTTTTGCGGTCGTATAAAAATAGACCGCTGTTTACCCAAACCCAACTCTACCCTGCCAGGTTTGGGTAGGTAGGTTGGAAAATCACTTTTTCCCCAAAAAAAATGAAAAGTTTGTACATGGAAACAAACACGGATATTCATAATAACCGTATTTTAATTGTAATATTTTTCTTACAAATATTCACTTAAACAAAAAGTACACAGTATGATGGAGGCCTAGGTGTATTGATCATTTTCATATTTTGAGAAGATTTAACATGTTGCATTTCATTTTTCGTGTTCCACGAGCTGCAAAACCTCAACAAATTGCAAATGATTCAAAATGCATTTTTTTTTAATTTAAAATTGATTTAACAGGCAAACAGTCGTCTAAATATTGAGTTTAATCTCTAAAAATAACACATGGCTAGAACTGATCTTATATTAAAAATACATATGTCTACTTTAATTTCCCCCTGTCTTTAAAAAATCTTATGGTCCCAATTTCCTGCAAAAATCGTTTTCCGAATAGACCAATTTTGTAATTTTGTCATCCACCTAATTCAAAATGTTTATTCATTTTGTTATTTAAACTTATATGCCTATATTTTTCTTCAAAGAATTCAATTTTTGGAATAAACATCATTCATAATTGTCAGTTTAGATTTTTATTGGCATATAATCTATAAAATTATACAATTTCAAGTTGTAAAAATATAGACATAGTCAGGAACCTGTTGTTCAGTGGTTGTCGTTTGTTGGTGTGGTTTATAAGTGTTTCTCGTTTTTTTATAGATTAGACCGTTGGTTTTCCTGTTTGAATGGTTTTACACTAGTCATTTTTGGGGCCCTTTATAGCTTGCTCTTCGGTGTGAGCCAAGGCTCTGTGTTGAAGGCCATACTTTGACCTATAATGGTTTACTATTACTAATTATGGCTTGGATGGAGAGATGTCTCATTGGCACTCATACCACATCTTCTTATATCTATAAACTTTATTTGCTTGTCCCTATATGTACCCTTGTGTATCTTATTGAGTAAAAAACTTTTTAAACACCTAAAGGGTATTATATTTGAATAATGATGAATATTTCTAAGAGTAGGTATAGAAAGTTATAAAGTTATTGATGTTAAAAAATAAAATTATTAAATTTCAAGTAACAAACAGCGGTATATCACTGTTGCCTTTATTTAACACAGAAATTGATCACTCCTTTCACAGTTATTATCTTTTAATTAGCACTCAAGTAATATTTTGATTTACTGTATCTATGTGTTGTTATGTTTAAACAAATATGCATGTATATGTTTATTTTTTAGTATTTACGCCTTGTTGCGTAAAAGAAAAAAGTCTTATTATTTTAAAGCAAAGTCAACGAGAGACATAAATTCGAGTGAATTCCACATTGATTCATTCTCGGACAAAATATATTAGTATAAAAGTCACAGATTCGTCTAGCCCATTGAACACTTGCACTTTTAAGCTTCATTGTTTTAAGGGCGATCTTTTGGACAGATATTACGTTAAACTTTCTATCAAGATTATCGAATATGAAAAAGTCAACCTGCACACCAGATCCAGAGGTATTCCAAGTTTTTAAGTAAACGAACAGTAAACGTCCTCGGACAAAATATATTAGTATAAAAGTCACAGATTCGTCTAGCCCATTGAACACTTGCAATTTTTTTTTTCTTCCCCATATTTGTTTTTCTTTCTGGCAACGAAAATAAGCAATCATTACTTCAGATTTTTTATAATTTTATTTGTCTTATAACTCATGATATAAATGTTTTGTTTCAACACGAAATAGGACCAATTTGATTTACTTAATATGGTGAAAAACGCTAAATGCTGTAAAGGTAGTTTACATAAAAGGTTTTGTGATTGATTATAATTAAACAAATTCCTTTTCATGAAATGCTAACAACATCAGAGATTAAGATAGTTTTCAATTATTATGGCTTGGAAATGGTAACGCTGCATTACATTTCCAAAGAATATATTATTGCATGAGTATATGACTGTACTACTAACTTTTAAGTTTTACCGACTCCCAATTACTTTGGATTGACTTTTTCTAGAAACAAATTGAGTTTGATTTATACTCACGAAAGTGTAATTGAATATTTTATGGTCAATTTTGGTTTTCACTATTTGTTGTTATTCATATCTCGAGTTAAAATAACACACTCCATTTTGTCGTGATGGCTTGGTGTGAATTTATCTCAAGAACATTCAGTTGTATGATGCATCTTTAAGTGTCCACTCTTTCTACGAATAGTTTTTCACTCAAAAAATTACTCAAGCAAATTTAATTTCCGAGTTAATAATTCCAAGTATGACTCCAATACATTTTTTCTTTCCAAGTAATGTCCATGCCAAATCATTGTTTGTGATTGTCAATGTCCAACTCTGAGAAAACCTAATACTACCATATGTATGTTTGTCTGGTAACTTTATAAGGATGTAAATATGGTTCAGATATCGATTGAAATTACGGTTGGATTACGAAAAGTCTTATATTTGTTCTAGTGGCTATATTCCGGATTTTACCATGTACTTAGGTTTACTAAGGAGTATATAAATACCAACTTTAATGTTCAAGCCAAATAAGCGTGAGATAATTGTGATGGATTTTATAAAAACAAAGCATCATGGATGTTGTGATTCAGCCAATTTTGTATCTAGTCTGACATTTTTTTCTGACATACTTTCAATAAGTATTTTGTTATCTTTATTTCCATAATCTCACTGTAACATATCTATTCTGTTGCCAAAAAATGGAGAATTTTGCAATATTGGTGCACATTATTTTGGTATTTTAATTGAAGACACTGTTTGAAACACTTTTTTCAGAAACATTTGAAATTCAATGATTTTGACAAGAATCTTCAAATGTATAGCATATTTTTATATGCCATTAATAATAATTTGCTTAATAATTTCCAGAAAGAGGCATTAAAAATGCAATTTCTCAACATCAACAAAAATAAATAACTAACTTTTGTATAAATTGGTGTTCATTCTTCATTAAGGATTATGTACTCTTGTGTTGATTAAATGCTAAACATATGGAAATTTTATAGAAAATCCACAGCCTTTCCCCTTGTACTCTCATATTTGGCAATTCGGTGCTTGATAGATAGGGGATTATTGCATGCAGTGCTAGCAATGATTTCCTTAAAACAAGTTTATAAATTTAGATATTAGTTAAAACAAAAATAAATATGGACCAATTCAAGTACACGCTCTAGGGTGAGCTCGACTTTAGTGACTCAGCACGAGGTTTTTATGAATTTAAAGGTTGTATAGGTTTTTTTGTAAACAATAAATGCTAGCACATCATAGAAAAACAAGTGAGTAATCTATGTTTAAAATTTCATGACTAAAATCTCTTTTTTAATGTCTGTGGATTTTCTACAAAAATCTTGGTTTTATTTGCCACAAAATCCCATTTTTCTATCAAATGCAATGAAACAATAAATAATAATGCTTTGCAGGAAGTTTCCCCTTGGTGTATGTACAATGGCCCATCTCTATTATTCATTATTTTTGCTGTTTTGATACTACTGCAGTTTTAAAATTTCGTAATTCACATGGCTACAGAAGGGGTCATAAACCTTGAGGTAAATATACATTTCCTGTATTCAAATATACATGTACAAATACCTAATGCTAAGATAATTCCAATTACTGTTAAATAGCAATATAATAGGGAATATACACATAGATGTATTGCAGAAAATGCTCAGGTAAGAGTTATGTAATTGTGTTTATTGCTTCCACCAAATTACTGATAATTGTAACTTGAATATACCTTAATCATTAACTAATGTCATTTTATTATGACACTGATTTTACAACTATTGAGGTAAAAATGTTGTGTATTCAGTTAGATGTGTAATAAATTAGATACACAAATTATTAACCTCAATACCAGTATGATAATCAGCTGTCAAAAAGTGTGGGAATCAACTCTGATATCAATACACATCTTAAACCAAATTATATCCAAAGGCTTACAGGAACGTAAGATACTGATAAAACACTTTCATTATTCTTATCAATTGCTTAATTTTCATAAATCACATTCTCAAAATTAGTTTATAAATGGCAATTTAATATAAATTTTGATTTACAAAGGAACTATATGCAAGTGTATATATAAGCTGTCTAAATCAAAGAAGTTGTTCACCCAACCTTTTCTTAATTTAAGGATAAATAACATATTAGAAATTGTCGGTTGATTATTAAAATGGTGTATAAAGTTTCTGCAAGTCATAGATAGAAACACATAATTATTTTTATGACATGGCTTGTGCATATCTTCCGAAATAATTACATTCTTTGAAAGATCAAGGTTAAGGAAAATATGAAGATATGCCCATCTCTTTGTCGTGAAAATATATTTTCTGTCCTGACTATCTTGTCATCTGGGCATAATTCGGATTATCTCCATATTTTATGATTAAATGATGAAATATTGCAATTTGATAAAAACAGATTTAGAATTTACAAATTAAAATGAAAAGCTTTTGAACAATGATCATGATGATTGGGCAGTTTTACATTCTTTTCGTAATTATAAATGGTAGTGAGTTTCTTAACGCTGAAGTTTTTTCATTGCTTTATAGTAAACATCCATTTAGGCACATTTGTCACCGACCATTCATTTCTTTAAACAAAATGTTCTAGACATGCTAGAGGAGAAGTCACGTGGAAATTATAGTTTTTTTTTCTATTCAAAATTAGAAATAAATAAAATTAAAACAATATGGTTTTACAAAAAAATCTTTTCCCTGTATTTAATTGAAAAAAAAAATGTTTTTTGAAATTTTAATTTGGAGTTAAATAATAAATTATACAAATGAAAAATAGCAAAAATACTTAACCCCAAGGAAAATTCAAAACAGAAAGTCATATATCAAAAGACAAAATCAAAAGCTCAAACACATCAAACGAATGGAAAACAACTGTCATATAACTGACTTGGTACAGGCATTTCCTTATGTAGAAAATGATGGATTAAACCTGGCTTTATAGCTAGCTAAAAACTCTCACTTGTATGACAGTCGCACAAGAAAAAATATTGTTTGTTCCGACAAAAAGCCCTATGCCTTCCCTACAAAAGACGAATGGTGGGTGCCTACGCAATTGACATAAGAAATGACATACCACTGAAATAGTTCCCGACTCGAAGCTGGCACGTGAAAATGAGGTAGTGTTAAATTTTAAATTTAAAATAATTTACATTTAAAATTTAACACTACGTCGTTTTCACGTGCCAGTTCCAAGTCCGGAAACTTTTCAGTAGTTGTAGTATGTCATATCTATAAATATTTGGAAAGCTTGGTGTTAATGGCAGATCTTATGATTGTTTTGTCACCACTTTTAAGGACCAATGAGGATTTAGAGCTTGAAAAATTGAAAGGCACCTTTCTATTGTTCAAAACTGATTTTTATATGCCCGTCTACGGGACGTATTATGGTATACTGTTGTCTGTCTGTCCGTCCATCCGTCCGTCAACATGTCGGACATTAACTCAACAAGAGTGCACACGCTGAAATGTCTCGCCTTCTTTACTAACCATTGATGTTATGTTGATAGTCCTAAATGAAAGCTTTACTACAACTATTACATAAACTTAACATGATCCAAGAAAATGAAGTCAAGGTCATATAAACCAAACGAGAAATACACGTACACCTTACAATCATTCAATACACTAAATATAGTTGACCTATTGCTTATAGTTTCTAAGAAACAGACTTAACCATGACAAGAGTGCACACGCTGAAATGTCTCGCCTTCTTTACTTATCATTGATATTATTTTGATAGTCCTAAATATAAAGCTTTATTACAACTGTCACATAAACTTAACATTAACCAAGTAAATTAAACATTGACCAATGAACCATGAAAATGAGGTCAAGGTCAGATGAACCATGCTAGGCAGGCATGTACAGCTAACAATTCTTCCATACAACAAATATAGTTGACCTATTGCTTATAGTTTAAGAAAAACAGACCAAAACACAAAAACTTAACACTGAGCAATGAACCTTGAAAATGAGGTCAAGGTCAAATAAAACCTGCGTGACTGCCAAAAAGATCATAAAATATTTCCATACACCAAATATAGCTGAACTATTGCATATAGTATTAGAAAAAAAGACCAAAACTCAAAAAACTTAACTTTGACCACTGAACCATGAAAATGAGGTCAAGGTCAGATGACACCTGCCCGCTAGACATGTACATCTTACAACCATTCCATACACCAAATATAGTAGACCTATGGCATACAGTATAAGAAAAACAGACCAAAACACAAAAACTTAACTATAACCACTGAACCATGAAAATGAGGTCAAGGTCAGATGACACCTGCCAGTTGGACATGTACACCTTACAGTCCTTCCATACACCGAATATACTAGACCTATTGCTTATAGTATCTGAGATATGGACTTGACCACCAAAACTTAACCTTATTCACTGATCCATGAAATGAGGTCGAGGTCAAGTGAAAACTGTCTGACGGGCATGAGGACCTTGCATGGTACGCACATACCAAATATAGTTGAACTATTGCATATAATATTAGAAAAAAAGACCAAAACTCAAAAACTTAACTTGACCACTGAACCATGAAAATGAGGTCAAGGTCAGTTGACACCTGCCAGCTAGACATGTACACCTTACAATCATTCCATACACCAAATATAGTAGACCTATGGCATACAGTATAAGACAAGAGTGCACACACTGAAATGTCTCGCCTTCTTTACTTATCATTGATATTATGTTGATAGTCCTAAATATAAAGCTTTATTACAACTGTCACATAAACTTATTATTAACCAAGTTAACTAAACATTGACCAATGAACCATGAAAATGAGGTCAAGGTCAGATGAACCATGCTAGGCAGGCATGTACAGCTAACAATTCTTCCATACAACAAATATAGTTGACCTATTGCTTTTAGTTTAAGAAAAACAGACCAAAACACAAAAACTTAACACTGAGCAATGAACCTTGAAAATGAGGTCAAGGTAAAAAAAAAACTGTGTGACTGACAAATAGATCATAAAATATTTCCATACACCAAATATAGTTGAACTATTGCATATAGTATTAGAAAAAAAGACCAAAACTCAAAAACTTAACTTTGACCACTGAACCATGAAAATGAGGTCAAGGTCAGATGACACCTGCCCGCTAGACATGTACACCTTACAATCATTCCATACACCAACTATAGTAGGCCTATGGCATACAGTATAAGAAAAACAGACCAAAACACAAAACCTTAACTATAACCACTGAACCATGAAAATGAGGTCAAGGTCAGATGACACCTGCCAGTTGGACATGTACACCTTACAGTCCTTCCATACACCGAATATACTAGACCTATTGCTTATAGTATCTGAGATATGGACTTGACCACCAAAACTTAACCTTGTTCACTGATCCATGAAATGAGGTCGAGGTCAAGTGAAAACTGTCTGACGGGCATGAGGACCTTGCAAGGTACGCACATACCAAATATAGTTGAACTATTGCATATAGTATTAGAAAAAAAGACCAAAACTCAAAAACTTAACTTTGACCACTGAACCATGAAAATGAGGTCAAGGTTAGATGACACCTGCCAGCTAGACATGTACACCTTACAATCATTCCATACACCAAATATAGTAGACCTATGGCATACAGTATAGGAAAAACAGACCAAAACACAAAAACTTAACTATAACCACTGAACCATGAAAATGAGGTCAAGGTCAGATGACACCTGCCAGTTGGACATGTACACCTTACAGTCCTTCCATACACCGAATATACAAGACCTATTGCTTATAGTATCTGAGATATGGACTTGACCACCAAAACTTAACCTTGTTCACTGATCCATGAAATGAGGTCGAGGTCAAGTGAAAACTGTCTGACGGGCATGCGGACCTTGCAAGGTACGCACATACCAAATAGAGTTATCCTATTACTTATAATAAGAGAGAATCTAACATTACAAAAAATCTGAACTTTTTTTTCAAGTAGTCACTGAACCATGAAAATGAGGTCAAGGACATTGGACATGTGACTGACAGAAACTTCGTAACATGAGGCATCCATATACAAAGTATGAAGCATCCAGACCTTCCACCTTCTAAAATATAAAGCTTTTAAGAAGTTAGCTAACGCCGCCGCCGCCGTAGCCGGATCACTATCCCTATGTCGAGCTTTCTGCGACAAAAGTCGCAGGCTCGACAAAAAACAGACCAAAACACAACAAGAGTGCACACGCTGAAATGTCTCGCCTTCTTTACTAATCATTGATATTATGTTGATAGTCCTAAATATAAAGCTTTATTACAACTGTCACATAAACTTAACATTAACCAAGTAAACTAAACATTGACCAATGAACCATGAAAATGAGGTCAAGGTCAGATGAACCATGCTAGGCAGGCATGTACAGCTAACAATTCTTCCATACAACAAATAGAGTTGACCTATTGCTTATAGTTTAAGAAAAACAGACCAAAACACAAAAACTTAACACTGAGCAATGAACCTTGAAAATGAGGTCAAGGTCAAATAAAACCTGCGTGACTGCCAAATAGATCATAAAATATTTCCATACACCAAATATAGTTGAACTATTGCATATAGTATAAGAAAAACAGACCAAAACACAAAAACTTAACTATAACCACTGAACCATGAAAATGAGGTCAAGGTCAGATGACACCTGCCAGTTGGACATGTACACCTTACAGTCCTTCCATACACCAAATATACTAGACCTATTGCTTATAGTATCTGAGATATGGACTTGACCACCAAAACTTAACCTTGTTCATTGATCCATGAAATGAGGTCAAGGTCAAGTGAAAACTGTCTGACGGGCATGAGGACCTTGCAAGGTACGCACATACCAAATATAGTTGAACTATTGCACATAGTATTAGAAAAAAAGACCAAAACTCAAAAACTTAACTTTGACCACTGAACCATGAAAATGAGGTCAAGGTCAGATGACACCAGCCCGCTAGACATGTACACCTTACAATCATTCCATACACCAAATATAGTAGACCTATGGCATACAGTATAAGAAAAACAAACCAAAACACAAAACCTTAACTATAACCACTGAACCATGAAAATGAGGTCAAGGTCAGATGACACCTGCCAGTTGGACATGTACACCTTACAGTCCTTCCATACACCGAATATACTAGACCTATTGCTTATAGTATCTGAGATATGGACTTAACCACCAAAACTTAACCTTGTTCACTGATCCATTAAATGAGGTCGAGGTCAAGTGAAAACTGTCTGACGGGCATGAGGACCTTGCAAGGTACGCACATACCAAATATAGTTGAACTATTGCACATAGTATTAGAAAAAAAGACCAAAACTCAAAAACTTAACTTTGACCACTGAACCATGAAAATGAGGTCAAGGTCAAATGACACCTGCCCGCTAGACATGTACACCTTACAATCATTCCATACACCAAATATAGTAGACCTATGGCATACAGTATAAGAAAAACAGACCAAAACACAAAAACTTAACTATAACCACTGAACCATGAAAATGAGGTCAAGGTCAGATGACACCTGCCAGTTGGACATGTACACCTTACAGTCCTTCCATACACCAAATATACTAGACCTATTGCTTATAGTATCTGAGATATGGACTTGACCACCAAAATTTAACCTTGTTCACTGATCCATGAAATGAGGTCGAGGTCAAGTGAAAACTGTCTGACGGGCATGAGGACCTTGCAAGGTACGCACATACCAAATATAGTTATCCTATTACTTAAAATAAGAGAGAATCTAACATTACAAAAAATCTGAACTTTTTTTTCAAGTAGTCACTGAACCATGAAAATGAGGTCAAGGACATTGGACATGTGACTGACAGAAACTTCGTAACATGAGGCATCCATATACAAAGTATGAAGCATCCAGACCTTCCACCTTCTAAAATATAAAGCTTTTAAGAAGTTAGCTAACGCCGCCGCCGCCGTAGCCGCCGCCGGATCACTATCCCTATGTCGAGCTTTCTGCAACAAAAGTCGCAGGCTCGACAAAAACTTAACTATAACCACTGAACCATGAAAATGAGGTAAAGGTCAGATGACACCTGCCCGTTGGACATGTACACCTTACAGTCCTTCCATACACCGAATATACTAGACCTATTGCTTATAGTATCTGAGATATGGACTTGACCACCAAAACTTAACCTTGTTCACTGATCCATGAAATGAGGTCGAGGTCAAGTGAAAACTGTCTGACGGGCATGAGGACCTTGCGAGGTATGCACATACCAAATATAGTTATCCTATTACTTATAATAAGAGAGAATCTAGCATTACAAACAAGAGTGCACACGCTGAAATGTCTCGCCTTCTTTACTAATCATTGATATTATGTTGATAGTCCTAAATATAAAGCTTTATTACAACTGTCACATAAACTTAACATTAACCAAGTAAACTAAACATTGACCAATGAACCATGAAGATGAGGTCAAGGTCAGATGAACCATGCTAGGCAGGCATGTACAGCTAACAATTCTTCCATACAACAAATATAGTTGACCTATTGCTTATAGTTTAAGAAAAACAGACCAAAACACAAAAACTTAACACTGAGCAATGAACCTTGAAAATGAGGTCAAGGTCAAATAAAACCTGCGTGACTGCCAAATAGATCATAAAATGTTTCCATACACCAAATATAGTTGAACTATTGCATATAGTATTAGAAAAAAAGACCAAAACTAAAAAAACTTAACTTTGACCACTGAACCATGAAAATGAGGTCAAGGTCAGATGACACCTGCCCGCTAGACATGTACACCTTACAATCATTCCATACACCAAATAAAGTAGACCTATGGCATACAGTATAAGAAAAACAGACCAAAACACAAAAACTTAACTATAACCACTGAACCATGAAAATGAGGTCAAGGTCAGATGACACCTGCCAGTTGGACATGTACACCTTACAGTCCTTCCATACACCGAATATACAAGACCTATTGCTTATAGTATCTGAGATATGGACTTGACCACCAAAACTTAACCTTGTTCACTGATCCATAAAATGAGGTCGAGGTCAAGTGAAAACTGTCTGACGGGCATGAGGACCTTGCAAGGTACGCACATACCAAATATAGTTGAACTATTGCATATAGTATTAGAAAAAAAGACCAAAACTCAAAAACTTAACTTTGACCACTGAACCATGAAAATGAGGTCAAGGTCAGATGACACCTGCCCGCTAGACATGTACACCTTACAATCATTCCCTACACCAAATAAAGTAGACCTATGGCATACAGTATAAGAAAAACAGACCAAAACACAAAAACTTAACTATAACCACTGAACCATGAAAATGAGGTCAAGGTCAGATGACACCTGCCAGTTGGACATGTACACCTTACAGTCCTTCCATACACCGAATATACAAGACCTATTGCTTATAGTATCTGAGATATGGACTTGACCACCAAAACTTAACCTTGTTCACTGATCCATGAAATGAGGTTGAGGTCAAGTGAAAACTGTCTGACGGGCATGAGGACCTTGCAAGGTACGCACATACCAAATATAGTTATCCTATTACTTATAATAAGAGAGAATTTAACATTACAAAAAATCTGAACTTTTTTTTCAAGTAGTCACTGAACCATGAAAATGAGGTCAAGGACATTGGACATGTGACTGACGGAAACTTCGTAACATGAGGCATCCATATACAAAGTATGAAGCATCCAGACCTTCCACCTTCTAAAATATAAAGCTTTTAAGAAGTGAGCTAACGCCGCCGCCGCCGCCGCCGGATCACTATCCCTATGTCGAGCTTTCTGCGACAAAAGTCGCAGGCTCGACAAAAATCTTAACTCTGAACCATGAAAATGAGGTCAAGGACATTGGACATGTGACTGACGGAAACTTCGTAACATGAGGCATCCATATACAAAGTATGAAGCATCCAGGTCTTCCACCTTCTAAAATATAAAGCTTTTAAGAAGTGAGCTAACGCCGCCGCCGCCTCCCGATCACTATCCCTATGTCGAGCTTTCTGCGACAAAAGTCGCAGGCTCGACAAAAATGCTTTAACCAATTTGCATGAAACTTTGGTGAATTGTTTATATCTATTGACGTGAGCTCCCTTTTGTTTTTTATAAATTTTAGATTTTACGTTTCCGAGTTATGAGGTTTTATCCATTACAAAAAGGGGGATTTTCCAGTTTTCGGACAATAACTCAAAAACACTTCCACCAATTTGCAAGAAAATTTGGTGAATTGTTTATATATATATTGACATGAGCTCCCTATTGATTTTTATAAATTTTAGATTTTACGTTTCCGAGTTATGAGGTTTTATTCATTACAAAATGGGGGATTTTCCAGTTTTCGGATAATAAGTTTAAATAACTCAAAAATGCTTTGAGCAGTTTTCCTAAAATTTTGGTGAATTGTTTATATCTATTGACTTAAGCTCACTTTTGATTTTCATAAATTTCAGATTTTACATTTACTAGTTATGGGGTTTTATTCATTAAAAAAAGGGGGATTTTCCAGTTTTAAGACAATAACTCAAATATTTTTTCAGCAGTTTTCATGAAACTTTGGTAAATGGTTTATATCTATTGTTGCAAGCTCCCATTCAATTTTTATAAATTTTAGATTTTAAGTTTCCGAGTTATGGGATTTTATTCATAAATAATCAGCTGCGCCACGAGCGCATGATACGCCCGTCGTCTTGTGTGTGAAGTTTTATGCAATAATCATAAATAGTTTCTGAGATACGGCGCAACATGTGAAAAACCCCACTTTTTTTTTACAAAAAACTCAATAACTCTAAAATAAAATTTTGAATCATCACCAAAAAGTATACAGCTCTTTAGATTAATATAACTAAGAAGTGTGTAAAGTTTTAAGCAATAATCATAAATTGTTTTTGAGATACGGCGCCACATGTGAAAACCCCTCCTTTTTTTACAAAAAACTCAATAACTCTAAAATAAAATTTTGAATCATCACCAATAATCATAAATCGTTTTTGAGATACAGCGTGACATGTGAAAAAAAAACACACCCCTGTTTTAGTTACAAAGTCCCGTAACTCAAAAAGTTTTAATCTTATTTTCACCAAAAGGTATACAGATCGTTTGACCATCATAAGAAACAACTATGTTAAGTTTCATGAAATTTGGATAAGTTGTTCTCAAGTTACGGTGCATAATGTTTACGACGGACAGACGGACGCCGGACATTTGTATACCATAATACGTCCCGTCAAAATTTTGACAGGCGTATAAAAACTGCAAAATTTCCTTAAAATAACCAATTTAGTGGCAGCAACCCAACAATGGGTTATTAGATTCATCTGAAAATTTCAGGGCTGATAGAACTTCACCTAATGAACACTTTTACCCATGTCAGATTTGCTCTAAATGCTTTAGTTTTTGAGATACAAGCCAAAAACTGTATTTTACCTCTATGTTCTATTTTTAGCCATGACAGCCATGTTTTTTGACGAAACAGAAAATAAAACACAAACTTTATTCTAGATACACTAAGGATCATTCAGCTTAAGTTTAGTGGGAATTGGTTCAGTAGTTTCAGAGGAGAAGATGTTTGAAATAGTTTACACCAGATGGACAACGACGGATGCCAAGTGATGGCAAACGCTCACATTTCCTTCAGAAAGTAGAGCTAAAAAGGAGATTGTGTTTTAATGCAAATCACAAATTAATGCAATAGCATCTGCATAGGTTAATTATGTCCTTTAATTTTAATTTTGTGGAAATTTATACATATTCCATATTCATTATAAAGTTTCCTCTACTTCAAGTTAAAATATCAAATATGTATACTAATATATACCTTTACTTCTTCAGAAGCCTCAACTTTGTCTTTATGTGTACCAACAAGAACAACTGGTGGATAAAGAGACTTATTCTTCTCTTCAATACTTCCAAGCACTTCAGTGGTACTACAGTAGCAATGTATTGAGTTCATCCACAACTGAAACATCTCTACAAAGTAATAACTTTCCATCAGCACATCTATCTTACACTTCAGTTTTTAATTATATTGTGTCCAGATGGTCTCCATATGGGGAAAATGTATCCCAGTCATTACGATTTGCCAGAACTTGCATATCTCATCAAGATAACCTTGATATAGGGTTGCTGCCTACAAGGAAGGCATTGAAACATGGGGTCCAAGTGGTAAGGTTAAAGTTATCCAATGGAACATTTTATGGACTCCATCACAAGTTGGTCAACTATAATTATGGAATATCTGTTTCACCAATGATGATAAATATGTTCCAATAGTCGTATCCTGTCCTCTTTTCCCAAATTTTGACATCACCGGATTAGATTTTTCACAAAATGTATACTTCCGTGAACAATAAGACGGGTGCCACATTTGAAGCAGGAACTGCCTACCCTCATGTCTCTTAGTCTTTAGTTTTCTATGTTGTGTCTTCTGTACTATTATTTGTCTGTTTGTCTTTTTATTTTTAGCCATGGCGTTGTCAGTTTATTTTCAATCTATGAGTTTGACTGTCCCTCTGGTATCTTTCGTCCCTCTTCAAAGGCACCTGATATCACCCCCAGTTTAAGTGGAGATCGTGTTGCTTGGTCTTTAGTTCAATGTTTTGTTTTGTCCTTTGAACGTTTTTGCCATGTCGTTGTCAGATCCCTTTTGTACATTCACCTCATTTATAGTATGATGAAAAGTTAAATTTACAATCAGCAGATAATAGGTAAATAAGAGAGATAAATTTTTTCCTACAATGTAAACTCTTAATGAATAGAATTTCATGGAATAACCAAGACTGGCGTCATATTGTATTTTGAACCCCTTTGAAAAGTGCACCAGGGGTCAAAATACCATATGAAAAATTGACCCCGGGGTTATTATACATCACCAAATGAAATTTATTACTGAATTTGTACTTAAATGGGCAACACGATTGGTGCACCTGTGGACATGGATCTGCCTACCCTTTAAGGTGGCTCACCCCAATAAGGACCCCCGGTAGAATTTTTTTATTTTCACATATTTTGTAGATTTTTTTATGCTGAATCCAAAAATGCAAAGAAAAAAGGGGGTCACCAGGCTCGTTTTCTCCTCAAAGGGAAGCGAAATGTGCAATGTTGACCCTATTTCCAAACTTTTACACCCTTTCAACAATAACGACTACATCAAATTCAAAGACTTTTAGAACCATGTCAGTATGATTATTATGTGAAAAAACAATTAAATTTGAAATGTAAACGTTCCCCTTGGTTGTTTTAGACTTAAAAATCCTTTTATTTTCAGATTTATATCTAAATTTGGCATTTTTTAATTTCAGTTTAAGGCTAAAAATATTGGTTAAATCGATTTTTCGTAAAATTTCCACGGTAGATTTTTTTTTTAAAATGGGTATGTCAAAGCTATGAACTTTTCGAGCATTTTAAGGTAAAATAAAATGTGGGTCACCAGGCTTTTAAAAAAGTTACGAGCTTTTGTTTAACCCCTCTACCCCATGAGGTCTGATTTCAATGCACTCCATTAATTACTTTATTGTGATTTTTTTATTGATGTCTTTAAATAAATAATGTTTGTAATTATATATCAATGGACGAAAGCTGAATATAAATGTGATGAACATTTTACTGTTTGTTATAAAAAAGCGAAATTTTGATTATTTTGGTGAAATACGGTAATTTTATCTGGCGCGAGTTGCTTCCTTCTAATCTGGCGCCATAATCGGACAACAGAAATTTCAGGGTCGCCATTGCTGAGCAGCATACTGTACTGATAAATACGACCATGTGCATGAATAACAGACATAGTGGCGAATAGACAATGATGAAGGTAGAGTCATTACATAAGAAAACATAGATTTTAATATATTAGACAGCCAAATGTTATCAGTATCACGAAAAATACAAAGTGGGGGGTTATCTCAAAATACTCGCTACTGTAGAAAATCACTGCGGCTGAAACCTTGCATGGGCTAAATTTCTGTTCTATGTATAATCGTTATTGGTTATGGCTGGTATCTTATTTATGTGTTTACTTGACCCTTAACCTGTTAACTGGCAAGTTGTGAACATGTATAGCCTGTTTTGAAAAAATATCCGTGTCAAACAGTCAAAGAGGAGGGGATAGTCATTTTCAGCATCTCATGATCTGCACTACCGTTAGCGTCAAATGAGTCTTGATTTTATATCGTCATTCGTAAAATCTAATTTCGTAGCCACGTTAGGGTCAAATGAAGTTAAATATTTATCCTTAGCGTCTATAATGACTAGTAAAACAGGTTGGGAACAAACCCTCTATATGGTGTTTATACCTGTATAGAGGAATAATCCTTCTATAGAGGGATAAAAGAGGGGTATTTTTGTTTAGACTGGATTTAAAGCAAAATAGGGCAGAATGGCATTTTCTAGTTATATTTGCTATAATCTATAGCACTATATATGCATCAATTATTGCACTTTACTGTATTCTGTATTTCTTTTACTAAAAAATGGCCTGGGATGCCCAGTTTTCTGCTAAAGTGACAGAACTTGCAATCTACTGTATACCTATCTGAACACCTGATCAACAACAAAAGGGACATGCAGTTGACCTTTAAATTTTATGTTAAATCTAACAATAGAAATTCTGTTCAGTGAGGCATAACTGAGTGGAATTTACCTGATCATCACATCTTTCAATTATGGTGTACAATAGATTGTATATTCAGTCAGTTTAGCAGTAAACTGGGCATATGAATGAAATTAAGTACATCAATTGGTGCATCAAATGTAGCAGGTTACTGCCATAATAAGTAGAAAATGCCATTCTGCCCTATTTTGCTTTAAATCCAGTCTAATCAAAAATACCCCTCTATAGAGGGATAATTTTATCCCTCTATAGAAGGATTATTCCTCTATACAGGTTTAAACACCAGGGGCGGATCTAGGGGGGAGGGGGGTTCCGTGGGTTGGAACCCCCCCCTTTTTTTGACGATCAATGCATTTGAATGGGGACATATAGTTGGAACCCCCCCTTTATCCTGGGTTAGGAACCCCCCTTTTATAAATGGCTGGATCCGCCCCTGAACACCATATAGAGGGTTTGTTCCCAACCTGTGAAAATGGGGTACCCCACAACTTCCCTCGGACAGAGGTTCATGATTACCACTCCCTATCCCCAACTCCCATTTCTCTTCCCTTTTACTCTAAAATTTTCTCTTTTAACTTCTACTTCCATCCCCCTTGCTCCCATACAAAAAAATTGCAAAGTATATTTCCCAGATTATTCAACCCCCCCCCCCCCCCCCTTTGTTTGAATTCTTGTCCTTTCACCCAAAATCATGTTCGCTCCAATACACATTCATCCCTTTTACATTCCCACCCTGAGTCTGTTTGTACCCTTCCTTTTATCTAAATCATGCTTTTGTTAGTATAGTTCTAAAACAATAAAATAAAGATATATTAAGTTTATTTTTATTGTTTAAAAATAAAGTGACTCACACGAGATCAAAGGTTTTTTTCTATTTATAATCTTCATAAGATTTACTTCTACCAAATTGGGTACTTTTATTTTCACTCAGACCAGGCTAACTAACGGTAACGGACCTGCACATGATACCCCTTTTTCTCGCTTCCTGATCCCTCATTCCCATGTTCCCTTATCCCTGTCCACCCGCTCAAGGGGTTCGATTGTTTCTTTGTTTTCTTGAAAATATTAATGGCCTGATTTGTAAATTATAACCACTACAGTACGAGGCAATACATTTTATTGATGGATTCGTCTTGATCACAATTTGTTTACAATTAAACACCCCCCCCCCCCCCCCCTGTCTCTCTTTTGTATAAAAAATTTCATAACGTCAAGTATCAGGTTTAAACATACACGTAGGGCTTATCTTGTTTACCAAATAACACATACATTTGAGTTGAAAAATTCATTATTGTTTTGTGCTTAGTATTTTTAAACACAAAATTTGTATATCCCATATTCCAAACAGGACACCTCAGCATAATTTGGTTGACGAGGAGTACAAATGTAGCTCAGCTGCATTTTAGAATTTTTAGGCATAGAAATAACTTGTCCCTGGCATCGAAACAGCATGCCCCGAGAAGTCTGTATTCAACATATATATAAAAACAAAATCACTTTTTACACTTGCTGTGCATGTAATTTAATTTTGTTTGCTCATTATTGTTGCCACAAATTCTTCATTTTTTTACGCCGTAGTGGAGTGGGCATTAAGTTTTACCCTTGTCTGTCTGTACGTACGTCCCAAAATTGGTGTCCGTTCTCTAACTTCAGTTTGCCTCAACCAAATGTTGTGAATGAAACTTATACACAATGCTTATTACCAACAAACACAGATCAAGTTTGAATTTTTTTTGGTGGCATCACTTTTACTGTTCTAGAGTTATGCCCCTTTAAAAATGGAAAAATTGCTGAATTTTTTGTTTCCGCTCTCTAACTTTAGTTTGCCTCATCCAAATGTTATGAAACTTATACACATTACTTATTACAACAAAATTCAGATCAAGTAAAACTTTGGGTAGTGTCACGCTTACCGTTCTTTAGTTATGCTCCTTTATAACTTTATATGCAAGTCACCAAGTGGGGGCATCATCTGTGTCCCATGGACACATTCCCCATTTATTTAAAATATGAACTACATTATGCTTTTAAATGTCAATCATGGTTGATTTTCTGACAGAATTACTCTGACATTTAATTTCAGGCTTCAAGTACATGTAAGAGGAAGGAGTGATTTGTTGTGAAAGATCCTGGAATGTTCAACTTTACCTGGAAACTATTGGCAAAGAACTGACAGAATTTACACAAGAAGCCAGTATCATCTTGTCTTGCAATTGGGAACTATATGCAAAGTGCAGAAACTTAAGAACAACATTAGAAGCCAAGATCAACAATACTTGGAACTACATGTATAATCAAAGTACTGGCAGAATCCATATGAGAGAACCCAAGATCATCTACACTTGGTGTCTATATGCAAAGTGTT